AAGACCCCAAAGGGAAGGATCTATAGGATGGCCCCTGCCAAGTTAGATGAACTTCGGAAGCAACTCAAGGAGCTGACAGAGAAGGGTTGGATTCGGCCTAGTACTTCCCCTTACGGATCACCCGTTCTATTCGTACCGAAGAAGTGGGGTACTTTGAGGATGTGCATTGACTATAGAGGCTTCAATGCCATCACTGTGAAAAACGCAGAGCCTCTACCTCGCATAGACGACCTATTAGATAGGGTGCAGGGATGCAAGTACTATACAAAGATAGACTTGAAATCCGGACATTACCAGATCGCAATAAGACCTGAGGACCAACACAAGACAACTTTTCAGATTCGTTATGGTCTATGAGTTTGTAGTGATGCCTTTTGGTCTTTGTAATGCGTCGGGTACATTCCAGCACGCTATGAATCGGATTTTCCATGACCATTTAGATAAGTTTGTCGTAGTCTATCTAGACGACATTCTGATTTTTAGTAAGTCTGTCGAGGAGCACGCACAGCATGTTGAGACAGTACTCTCGCTCCTACGACAGCACAAGTATAAGGTCAACTTAGAGAAGTGCGAGTTTGACCGCACTAAGATACTATACTTGGGTCATGAAGTTTCCGCGGAAGGGATTAGGCCGGAAGATGCGAAGGTGGCTAGTATTCGAGACTGGCCACGACCTCAGACAGTCACTGAGGTCAGATCATTCTTAGGAATGTGCGGCTACTATAGGAACTTTGTAAAGAACTATTCTACTGTCGCCTCTCCTTTGACTGATTTAACTCGACTTGACACACCGTTGGACTTGAGTGATGAGTGCGAGGGTGCTTTCAAAAGATTGAAGCATGCACTCGTGAATCATGAAGTTCTCATGGTTCCCGATCCGCAGAAGCCTTTCATAGTGACCACTGACGCAAGCCAATACGGCATTGGCGCAGTGCTGGCTCAGCAGGATGGGAAAAAGTTGAGACCGATTGAGTACACGAGTAAGAAAATGCCTTCGAAGAAGATGGCTAAGTCCACCTACGAAAGGGAACTCTATGCTCTCTACAAGGCACTTGTCCATTGGAGACACTTCCTTTTGGGAAGGTTCTTCTATCCGAGGACTGATCATCAGACCCTCAAATGGATCAAGACTCAACCGGCTCTTTTTGATGCAGTCAAGCGATGGATTGAGGTCATAGACCAATATGACTTAAAGCTTGAGTACTTGAAGGGAGAGTACAATAAGGTTGCAGACGCGCTATCCGTTAGGGCAGACTACCTAGGTGCACTAGTTTCTGAATTTGGCGTATCTAATGAAGTAACTCAATCATTGGTGGGAGCCTATCAGGAAGACCCTGTCACGATGGACATCATCCGCAAACTTCAGGCAAAAGACAAGGCCACATAAAGTGAGTTTGTGATGGTGGATGGGCTAATCTATCTTGATAAGGCCGGAGTAAAGAGATTGGTAGTTCCATCTAGTGAACAGTTGCGTAGTTTATTTTTAGGCGAATGTCATGACGCAACTGGGCACTTTCGTTACAAGAAGACGAGTGCTAACTTAGTACAGCGATTTTGGTGGCCGATAATGTTAGATGACGCGAACAAGTATGTTGAGACCTATCAGGTCTGTCAGCGGGACAAGCCGCGAACTCAAGCACCGCTTGGGTTATTGAAGTCGTTACCTATTCCTGATGGTCCAGGATTGAGTTTTTCCATGGATTTCATGGACACTCTTGTGACCAGCAAGAGTGGTAAGAGGCACATCTTCGTCATCATTGACGGATTCACCAAGTACGCTAGACTAATACCAATGCCAGAGACAGCCAGGACAGAATACGTCATCAAGTTGTTCAAGGACAACTGGGTAAGGGACTTTGGTTTACCAAAGACCATCATTAGTGACCGAGACGTTCGATTTACAAGTAAGTTGTGGAAGAAGACTGCGGAACAGATGGGCAGTCAACTTCGAATGACTTCAGGGAATCATCCCGAAGCCAACGGACAAGCCAAACAGATGAATAGAGTTGTACAGCACTTGCTGAGGCATTACATCAAGCCCAGCCAGGATGACTGGGATGAGCAGTTACCTCGCATTGCCAACCTGTACAACAATGCTATACATAGCAGTACCGACGTTAGTCCTAACCAGCTGCACTTAGGATGGAAGCCTAGATCAGCATTAGACTTCCTCCTACCTGAAAACCGACCTGCTGCAACTCCAGGCACACTTGAATACGGTGTGCAATATGAGAAGTTGCTGCACGAGGCTGTTGAACATATGAAGAAGGCTCAGCAAGCCATGATTGCTTCTGAGACTCAACATCGCAGGCAGTCCACATTTCAGGTAGGGGAACGTGTCTGGGTCAAGGCTAGTGAGTTAGGACAGGAATTCGGAATATCTCACAAACTAATGCCTCAGTACTTTGGTCCCTGGGAAGTCTTGGATGTAGTGGGAGATGAAATGGATGGTCCTACGTACGTCATTCGTGTCCCTGGTCATCTACGCACTCACCCAGTCTTTCATGCCTCAAAGCTTGCACCTTTCGCTGAGACTGATCAATTCCC